AGAATCTCTTCTTCCTCCTGCCAAATCCATAGAAATTGTGGGGGGGAAATGTTTAAAAAAAAAAAAATGTACCTCCATACAGACAAGGACAGTTTTGGTGGGTCAGAAATAGAAGTTTTCACAAAGCAGAGAGTAGATGGTCCACAGGGGCAGAAGGGAGACGAGGGCAGGGCAGTGGTGCAGCTCTGAGGGTACCCAACCCCAGCAGGCTACCTAAGTGGAGATGAGCTCAGTCTGTCACCATCATTAACCAACACACCGAGAGACAAATTCAGCCATTGACAGGACTGCAGCCGGTAATGCAGGTTATTAGCGCAGTCACCGTAGGACCCAGTCTGGAGCAGGCGGTGCAATAGATGCTTGCTTGACTGACTGCTGCAGCGTGAGCTAGTAGTGGGTTCTGTGGTATGTGGAATGCTGGCCCACCACCAGTGATTTATGTATTTATCAAGAGTCCATTGTACTTATGGGAAATTTACTTATTGTAGTTTTGTGATTTTTTTATTCAATATTACATACTGATGAAATAATAGGTGTTAAAATTATTCTCTTGAAAACCAAGTTTGAATGCTGTGTAATGACAGTAGCAAGTTGTTGCAGAAAAAATACTGAATTATGTTTGTGCCAGACAACTGTAAAAGATTTGAGAGAATATTTGAAAATCTAGGATTTTGTACTCAGATTACTTTGCAAGTGTAAGTTCTTGTTTCACTTTAAAGAAGAACTTAGAGTTCTGACCTCCATCTCGTGGGTGTACCAGGAAATAATGAGAAGGAAACTGAAGAAATAACAAGGGATATTTTCCAGAACTGAAGAGAAAGGTAAGTCTTCAGGTTAGAAAGGCTCAGTAAGTATCAGGATGAAGACACACACAAGTACATTCACAGACTCGAACCAGGTTGTAGCACACGAAAATGTAAGAGAAGTAACTGGGAGAGTTTGCTGTCTGTTTGGAAGGAAAAGGAACAGATTCCTGTGCTGCAGTACATTGCAGATGGTTTAAAAGTTTAACTAACTGGAAACAAATACAGACGCAAGAACTTGTATGCAAATGTTCCTAATAGCGTAATTTATAGTAGCCACAAACAAGAAAAAAACAGAATGAGCCCTATTCTGCATTCAGGGTGACCCAGGTCAGTTATCTCAAGGCAAAACTGTCCAGTGCCTTTGGTTTAACTTGATGGGTAAGTTAACTTCTAAAGTAATACTTCAGGTTTTGTTTTCCATATTTCTTTCTGTACTTGTAGGATCTATCATTTGAACTCTGTCTTTTTCTTTTTTTTTTTTTTTTTCTAACACCTTATTCTTTTTTGAGGGGGGTTTCCCTTTGAAATTTTAGTTTTTTGGAGTAAAACAAACTCTGCATTCCAGATCCCCCCTCCCCCCAGTTTGCTATAGGGAGCATGCACTTTCCTGATAGAAAGTAAGAAATCACCTTTGGAGAAGTCACACCACAGTCCCTTCTCCTTCGTTCTCCTCTCGAGATTTTGGGCACATTGCCTGGTGCTTTTCAAGCTGCTGGTCCAGGACCCAAACTAGTCGACCATGTGGGATCTTGCACCTTAACCACCATGTCACCTGCTGGTCTATCTTTTTACTTTTGGAGTATGTGTGTGGTATTTTTCTTTTTATTTATATATTTACTTATTTTAAGAGATTTTAGCTATAGGGCATGTGCAGAGAGACGAAGTGAGAGATCCCCCCTCCCAGGGATGACCACGCTGCACTCCTTTCTCTTCCAGTCTTCTCTCAGGATTTTGGCCACCCATGCACACATACCCAACATGAGTTTTAAGCTGCCCGGTCTGGAACTTGAACCTTGGTAGGCTATATGGGACTCCAGCCGCATAAACATTAACGCCATCTGCTGGTCCGTTTTTTAATAGGGTCTCTCCACACAGGGATCTTCCTGCTCCAGCCTCTGCAGTCACAGGCATACGGCTCCGTACTGGGTCTTTCAGACAGTTTCACATTGTCCATGCTGGCCAGGAGCTCTGAGTCCTCTGTCTCTGCCTCCCAAGCAGCTGGAACTGTAGGTGCTAGTCCTCCCATGTGGCCTTAGCTGCCAAGCATCAGAGTCCAGCACATGCTGCTGCAGCTGGGCAATTTTTCTTTTTCCATTTAGTTGAGGGAGAACAGATGGGTAAAGAAAAACAGATTTTTGTCATTTTATGAAATGTTTTTGGATAATTCTTGGCCTATGAGTATTAAAGATGAAGTGAAGAGCCAAGCTGTTTTTTAAAGAAGTTTTTTGCTTTGAAGGTGGCATACTGCTTTAGTTAAAGGGTCAGCTTCTGGGGCCAGCAGATTGCGTGGAGGTTAAGGCACTGGATCCCACACAGGTGAGACTGTGTTTCAAGTCCCAGACACAGTGGCTTGAAAAACCATACTGGGTGCATGTATTTGCGTGCCTAAGATCCCAGGAGAATACTGGAGGAGAAAGGATTGTGGCATGGTCACACCCTGGGGTGATTTCTCTCTCTGGCAAGGGCTTGCACCCTGTAGTAAAAACTAGGAGAATAAAGAAATATAGCTTCTGTAACTGCATGGCATACAACAGGATCTTACTATGCCATTTGCTAGTTAAATGTCCTTGGGAACGTTACTTAATCTCCCTGAGCTTCCAGTGTCACCTTTTGTAACATAAGAATAGTATTTTAATACACAGGGTAATTATAAGGGTTTAAAGAGGTATGATAGTGCTTGTCTTTAGTAAGTGATTATTATTATTTGCTATAGGGCACATGTGCTTGCCAGAAAGACTGACAGAGACACAAAAAGCGAGAAATCACCCCCCCCCCCCCCACAGGGGTACAGTCCCTTCTCCATTTTCCTCTCGGGATCTTGGGCCCGCAGGTACATGCCCCCAGGGTGAGTTTAAGCCACTGGGTCCGGGACTCAAACCACAGTTGACTACATGGGAGTCAAGCGACATAGCCATTATGCCAGCTGCTGGTCCCAAGTAAGTTTTTAACTGTTGCTTTACTTCTGGTACCAGTGGGATAAAGATGTTAGCAGTGAGACATTATCATCCTGGGTTCTTCTTGAAGATCCTTATTCCTTTCCACTGTATAAGGAACCTGTGTTTATAATCTGAAACTGAAAACATGAATACAGATAAGAGAAAAATATAAAATATCTGTAATACTACCACCTAGAAATAACATTGTTAACAAGAACTTCTTTTTCTCATGATACTTGTTTGGAATTAGGGTGTCTGTCTCATTGGTAGAGGAGGCTATTTTCTTTCTTTCTTTTCTTTCTTTCTTTTTTTTTTTTTATAATAAAGATTTTTGCCATCGGATGTGTGCACTTCCCAGCGAGGAGAGACAGAGACAGGGAAAGTGAGAAATCCCCCGCCCCCTGGGGGACTGGCCACATCAAAATCCTTTCTTTATTCTTCTCAGATGATTTTGAGCACACATGCACATGAGCCTAGCATGATTTTCAAGCCACCAGACCCTGCACTTGAACCACATTGGCCATGTGGGAGGCCAGTGCCTTAACCACTATGCTGCCTGCTGGCCCAGAGGAGACTGCTTGCCAGAGAGAAGAAAAAACATCCCCAAATGAGGTCTAGTCATGCTGTAATCCCTTCTCCATTTCTCCATCCTGTCAGGATTTGGGGCATACATGCATATGCACCTAGCATGTTTCTCAAGCTGCCAGGGCAGGCCAGAAATCAGCCTTTGGTCAGCCTTGTGAGATCTGACCACCCTACCACTAGCCCATGGGGCCAGCCCTCATTTTCACTGTTTTAATTCAGTAGACTCAAAAGTGAGATTTGCAGTGAACAGCTTGTCATGTCTGGAATTTTGTGAGCCTTTAAGTCTTACCTCAGCTTCTTTGTATTTACCTATAAGTAACATTCTACTTTTATTTCCTAGGGTCTTTTTAGGTGTGTGTGTGTTTAAATAATTCTTTATTTTATTTTATTCATTCATTTATTCATTCATTTATTACAATTTGACCAGAGAGAGAGACACACACACACACACAGAGAGAGCGAGAGCGAGAAAGGAAGCCACCAAGTCCAGGGCTTGAACCATGGTTATCCATGTGGGAATGCCCAGCACCTTAACCACCACGCCACCTGCTGGCCCCTAGGTGTGTTTCTTCATTGGATCTTCTTAGACACCATTAAGTGCATATATACATACATGATCCGAAGACTGTTCTATAGTCTCTAGCCAAAAAGTCACTGTTGAAATTTTATTTCCCATCTTAAGTATATCTTATTAGCTCTTACCCAGTTAAGCTCACCTTCCAAGGTTATACAGTGTCATGAGTATTAATAACTTTCAAATTATGTAGTAGTCCCTCGCCAATATTAAATCACATGCCTTTACCAAATGATACAATGACAGCTGTCTCACCAATTAATTCCCTCTAATTACGATTTAAATTTTTTTTTCTTCAGTTACCAAAAGTGTAGATACATTTAACAAGGTGATTAAGCTCTTTAGACTTCCCTCTTTAGGGAATAGGGCTCTTTTCTAAGGTTAAACTATTGGAAGATTTCAGTCTGTAGTTTCAGCTAGCCATTCTCTTTTTAACTGCATCAGGAGCTTAACATTCCGGTGTGAAATGATGCCTCACAACAGTTCTTTCTAGGTTGAAATGATGAGGGCTTGTCCATTTTATTTTCTTACAAAGGGTAAATTTTTTTTTTTTTTTTTTGGTTTTTGCCATGGGGTGGGGGTGTGTACTTGCCAGAGAAAGACAGAGGGAAAGTGAGAAATCATCCCCAAAGGGGATGGTCATACCGTAATCACTTCTCCTTTCTTCTGGGATTTTGGGTGTCCAGGACTTGAACCACAGTTAGCCACATGGGAGTCCTGCACCTTAACCACCGGGTCACCTGCTGGCCCCTAAAAGATAAAACTTAAAAGATTCTAATACTATGTAGTAATATAGTAAACATATAATGTTATGTATAGGTTAAGTGTTGGAAGAGTGCTAAAAATTGTTTTTATATCTTAAATTTTTATTCTTTCAAGGATTTCTAGATGAGGTTATGAAGAAGTATGGTAGTTTGGTTCCACTCAGTGAAAAAGATGTCCTTGGAAGATTAAAAGATGTCTTTAATGAAGACTTTTCTAATAGGTATGTTAATGGTACTAAAGGTAAGCCCTTGAAAATAAAAATTGTTGACATAAATGACTTTGCTAGAGGAAAAGAGATGCTTAGTGATAACTTGAATAGAACTTTTAAAAAAAATCTTTTTCAAAATCTCTTTGTTTCAGAAAACCATTTATTAATAGGGAAATAACAAATTATCGGGCCAGACATCAGAAATGCAACTTCCGTATTTTCTACAATAAGCACATGTTGGATATGGATGATCTGGTGACCCTCGATGGTCAGAACTGGCTGAATGACCAGGTGAGTGAATGGTAGGTCCTCATTGTGCTAATGGTGCAGAGTGTTGGTCAGTAAAGTGCAACTGCATTTTCTGGATTCGCCTCAATTATCTTTTGAAGTCAAGGATTCTTTATTTCTCACTAAAGTGTGACTCATTTGCTAAACCCAGTGTCCAAAAGGTCTGATTATTGTTAGCATTATCAATATGTTCTTCATTCTCATTGGGATGTTCTGAATTATATGGGATTAGTAAAGTTGGTTTTATGTTTGTTGGCTTCTTATAGGTCATTAATATGTATGGAGAACTGATTATGGATGCAGTCCCAGACAAAGTAAGTGAAAACTTCTTTTTCTTCAGGTGAGAGAGTCCTTTTGTATTAAAAGTATCTTTGGGGGCTAGCAGGTGGTGTAGTGGTTAAGGCACTTGACTCCCACATGGCTGACTGCAGTTCAAGTCCCGGACCTAACAGCTTGAAAATCACGTGCAGTGCATATACATGCATGCCCCAAATCCCAAGAGGCGACTGGAGGAGAAGGGACTGCCGCACAGCCATCCCTGCTGAGGGGTGATTTCTCACTTTCTCTCTCTGTGCATCTGTTTGTTTCTCTCCAGCAAGCATACGTGCCCTATGACAAAAACTTTAATGAATAAGTAAAAATAAAGTAGTTTGTTTTTAAACTATGTAATTATCTGCTCATCCTTAGGGTTTTTTTTTTTTTGAAAACAGGACTAGATTTTTTTCTTAATGTAATATTAGAGTTGGACTTAAGCTCTGTGAAATCACTTCTACTTACTTGCAACTGGTGGGTGTGTTTGTTGGTATCTTAAGGAACTATTTTAAGATTTTTAATTTAACTCTAAGTTTCATTTTCTTGGGAACCAGCAGATGGCATAATGGCTATGTTGCTGGACTCTCATGTAGTCAGCTGTGGTTTGAGTCCTGGACCTGGTGGCTTAAACTTAACGCCGGGTGTGTGTGCGTGCATGCCCAAGATCTTGAGAGGAGAATGGAGGAGAAGGGATTTTGGTGTGGCCATCCCCCCTAGGGGGTGATTTCTCACTTTCTCTCTGTCTGTTTCTATCTTTCTGGCAAGTACATGCGCCCTATAGCAAAAAAAAAAAAAAAAAAAGTATTTTCTTTAGAAATGTTAAGTAGTATTTACCTTCATTTTTCTTGTAAATGTTAGATGTTCATGTCAAATACACACTTTACCTCATGAACTGTAAATTCTTTTAGGAGCTTAATTACATAATAAAAGTTTCATTTTTAAAGTTTGTTTTAGGATGTGTATACTTGCCGGGGAGAGAGAGAGAAAAAGAGGGAAAGTAAGAAATCACCCCTGCATAGGACCAGCATATGGTGTGATGGTTACGTCTCTGGACTCCCACACAGCTAACTGGGGTTTGAGTCCCAGACCTGCTGGCTTGAAACTCACTCTGGGCATGTGTGTGTGTGTGTGTGCTCAAAGTCCTGAGAGGAGAGTGGAGGAGAAGGGATTGTGGCATGACCATCCCTCCTGGTGGGTGATTTTTCGCTTTCTGTCTCTCTCTCTCTCCAGCAAGTGCATATGCCCTATAGCAAAAATCTCTCTTAAAAAAAAAATTTAAAAAAATCATTCCCACTCAGGGGTATGGCCATAGCATAGTTCATTCTCCTCCAGTCCCCTCTCAGGGTTCTGAGCCACGCCACAATCCCTTCTCCATTCTCCTCTCGGGATCCTGGGCAGGCACGCACACGCGCCCGGCGTGAGCTTTAAGCCACCAGGTCCGGGACGCTAACCACGGGCGACTACATGGGAGTCCAGCAACATAGCCATTACGCTAACTGCTGGTCCCCCCGTTTTTTGTTTTTTTTTTTAAAGAAGAATTTTTTATTTAACTTTTCTTATTTATTCATCCATTCCAATTTGACCAGAGAGGGACGAGGCTGGGGGAGAGTGAGAAAGCAAGTTGCCAGGTCCAGGACTCAAACCATGGTTGGCCACGTGGGAGTCCAACACCCTTAGCCACCATGCCACCTGCTGGTCTCGTGCCTGATATGTTTTTCTAGCCACCTGTTTGTAACCAAACTGCAGTTCGACATGTGATATCTAACCACATTCACCTCTGCACCACCCGCTGGCCCTAAAACTGTATTTTAACTTAATATATTAATTTTTCTATCTGAATACTCAGTGCCTGATGCGGAGCAAAGCTTTCTAAGTACTTTATGAGACTTGTAAATCTAATAAATTAAGCAGCTATAATAAACTTCGGGTTTTAGTATTGCTTATGAATACAGAAAAATATTGTATAATTTGAGACTAGCAGATGGCATAATGGTTATGTCACTGGACTCTCACATGGCTGACTGTGGTTTGAGTCTTGGATCCGGTGTCTTGAAATTCACACCGAGTACGCGTGCACGGGTGTATGCCCACAATCCTGAGAGGACACGAGAAGAAGGGATTGTGACATAGCCATTCCCCGTGAGGATGGACTTCTTGCTTTTTGTCTCTCTCTCTCTCTCTCGGTGAGTGCATGTACTCAACAGCAATAATCTCCCTACAAATAAGGAAAAATATTGTATAACTTTTGGGCTGGCCCTGGTATACTATTTAAGTGCCCAGAATCCCAATAAGATGGAGAAACGGAGGATGAAGGGGTAGTGGTGTGACCACACCCCACACACTGCGTGTGTGGGGAGGTGCTTCTTCCCTCTCCATCTTCCTTTCTGTCTCTCTCTGAGTACATGTGTCCTCTGGCAATTAAAAAATAAAAAGAATGAAAAGAAAAATAAAACTTTCTACTTGAAATTACAAATCTCTGTTGCATCATACATTGGAATCATGAGGCTAATCTGTCAGATTCTCTGTTATGTCAGATGCTCTGAAGTTATCAGAAAGGTTAAGCCTAGGGAACCAGCAGTTCGCATAATGGCTATGTCGCTGGACTCCCACGTAGTCGACCGTGGTTCCCGTCCCGGACCCGGCACGTGTGTGTGCGTGCCCAAGATCCCAAGAGGAGAATGGAGGAGAAGGGATTGCGGTGTGACCATCCCCCCTGGGGGGTGATTTCTCGCTTTTTGTCTCTATGTCTCTCTCTCTCTGTCTGGTGAGCGCACGCACCCTATAGAAAAAAACCCCTCCCCCCCAAAAAAAGAAAGGTTAAGCCTAAACATTTACAGATTATTTTTAACATAAAAATATTAATTTTGAATGTTTCATTTCCCTTCATTATCTGTGTACTTAGAGATAAATCTAAATTTTCATGGGATTTAATGGACATTTAATAAGGCAGGGCTCTCAGAGTGTGGTCCCCAGATAAGCATTATGAACGTCATTTGGGGACTTACCAGAAATTCACATTTTCAGAGCAAAACACAGACTTATTCTAATGCACACCAAGACTGAGAATCACTGCTCTAAAGATAGCTATTCAAGCTCTTTTTAACCATGTGTTGAGCTGTGTGGTTCTCCAAAACATGTGCATCAGAATCACCTAGAAGGTTTACGAAACTATATTGCCGGGCAGCCCCTTTGAGTTTCTGCTTTAGTGGGTAAGAGGTGGGACCTGAGAATTTGGATATCTAGAAGTCCTCAGATGCTGCTTCCATTACTGGTCTGGTCTTGGGGTTGACCACACCCAAGACCCACGGCACTAAGAGACAGTTCTGTCACCCCAAGTGAGCAGAGTTACTAAGCAAATATTTTCAGATGACAGTAAGTTTACTATCTCAGGTTACCCGATACCATTTATAAACCAGAAATTTGAAGCAAGGGTGCTTATGTTCCATATGGCCAGGGTCAGTCTTTCGGTAGTAGAAATGATCATGCTGAGACCTTCTCATAGTTGTGTGACAACAGGAATCTCCAGATCCACATCCTTCAGTTGGGGATAGTTTTGTAATCCATTTCTCTTGAGTTCAAGGTAATCGTTACCTCATTTTTTCATAGCCTCTTTCAACTTTATCACCTGATTGGGAGACATTTGTCAGGTTGCTTCTCTACTTGATTGGATTCAGGTAATCTGTTTACTGCCCCATTCCACTTCTGACTATAGAGCACAGCTGTAAGGTCATTCTAATGAATATTTGGAGCAAAATCTTCTCTGAACCACATAATTTCTATATTTTGATCATTATTTTTTAAAAAAGAAATTTTTCTTCCCTTTTTTGTTTATGTTTGACCTTTTTTTTAAGTTCCTATTTTCTTTTGAAATTTAATCTGGACACAGCTTAATATAATCTGGTTACTTATATTTGGTGTCTATTCTAGGTACACTTCTTCAACAGCTTTTTTCATAGACAGCTGGTAACCAAAGGATATAATGGAGTAAAAAGATGGACTAAAAAGGTATTCTCTTTTAATTTTGTTTATTCTAAATTTGAAATGAAGATGATAAGCCACTTTAGGTGGAAAGATTAAAACTTTTTTAAAGAATCATTTTACTGGGACCAGCAAATGGCATAATGGCTGTGTCGCTGGACTCCCATGTAGTTGACTTTGGTTTAAGTCCCGGACCTGGTGGCTTAAACTCCTGCTGGGCGCGTGTGCGTGTGTATCCAAGATCCTGAGAGGAGAATGGAGGAGAAGAGATTGCAGCGTGGCCATCCCCCCTAGGGGGTGATTTCTTGCTTTCTGTCTCTCTGTGTCTGTCTTTCAGGCGAGTGCATGTGCCCTATAGCAAAAACCTCTCCAAAAAAAAAAAAAAAAAGTTGACCCAGATGGTGTGGTGGCTAAGACACTGGACTCTCAGGTTGCCAACCTCTGTTTGTATCCTGGACTGGTGGCTTGAAAATCATGTTGGGCGTGTGTGTGTGTTTGCCCAAAATCCTAAGAGGAGGGAACCAGCAGTTAGTGTAATGGCTATGTCGCTGGACTCCCACATAGTCGACCGTGTTTCGCGTCCCGGACCCGGTGGCTTAGAACTCACGCCGGGCACATGTGCGTGCGTGCCCAAGATCCCGAGAGGAGAATGGAGGAGAAGGGATTGTGGCATGACCATCCCTCCTGGGGGGTGATTTCTCGCTTTCTGTCTCTATGTCTCTCTCTGTCTGTCTGGCGAGCGCAAGCACCCTATAGCGAAAATCTCTCAACAAAAAAAAAAAATCCTAAGAGGAGAATGGAAGAGAAGGGATTATGGTGTGTCTATCCCCTCTGGGGGGTAATTTCTCACTCTCTCTCCCTTTCTCTCTCTGGCCAGTGCACACGCACTATGGCAAAAACAAAACAAAACAAAATCAGTTGACCATCTATGTAGTTCTGTTTCTGGACTCTGTTCTCTTATAGTGACCTTTGTGTACTTATGCTAATACTGCACTGTCTTAATTATTGCATCTTTATAGTGTGTCTTGAAATGAGTGTAAGCCTGCTAGCTTTGTCCTTTTTCCCAGATGGTTTGGCAATTCTAAGTCCTTTGCCTTGGGGTCTAGCCCATAACCTAGGGTGTTAAGTGAGCTGGATCCCACACGGCTTACTATGAGGTTTGAGTCCCAGTCTTGGCAACTTGAAAAAAACACACTGGGTACATGTGGGTGCATACTCAATATCCAAAAGGGATGGAGAATGGAGAAAGGATTGCAGTGTGACTGGGCTTGTAGGGGTTGCTTTCTCACTTTCCCTCTCTCCAGCAAGCTCACATGCCCACTGGCAAAAATTTTTGAAAAAGAAAAGACAGACTTTCAGTCTTTGAGCATGATAAAGCTTTCCACTTACTTAGGTCTTTTTTGTTGTTGTTTTTAAGAATTATTTTATTGGGACCAGCAGTTAGCGTAATAGCTATGTCGCTGGACTCCCATATGGTCCACCGCGGTTTGAGTCCCGGACCTGGTGGCTTAAAACTCACACCAGACACGTGTGCGTGTGTGCCCAAGATCCTGAGAGAAGGTTGGAGGAGAAGAGATTGCAGCATGGCCATCCCCCCAGGCGGTGATTTCTCACTTTCTGTCTCTGTCTCTCTCTGTTTGTCTGGTGAGCGCATGCGCCGTATGGCAAAAACCTCCCCCCCCCAAAAAAATATTTTATTGAACTTATTTATTTATTTAAATTTGACCAGAGAGGACCATAGTGAGAGAGAGAGAGAAAGGGAAAGTGAGAAAGCAAGCCACCAGGTCCGGGACTTGAACTGCAGTTGGCCATATGGGAGTCTGGTGCCCGTAACCACCACACTACCTGCCAGCCCCCATTTACTTAGGTCTTTAATTTTGCTCAGCAGTATTTGTAATGGTTAATGTGTAGGTCTTATGTATATTTTGTTATATGTATTCCTGAGTTTCCACATTTCTGAAACTACTATAAGCAGGATTTTTTAAATGTTACCTTCCAGGTGTTTGGTGTTGTTGGTATATAGAAATATAATTGATTTCTGTATATTAACCTTGTATCCTGTGACTTTGCCTAACTCTAGGAACTTTTTTGTAGGTTTTGGGAAAAGAAAAAAAATTTTTTTAGACAGATTTTTGTTGTAGTGTGCATGTGCTCACCATAGAGATAAGGAGAGACAGAGCAAGAAATCACCCCCCAGAGGGGATGGCCACACCACAGTTCCTTCTCCTCCATTCTCCTCTTGGAATTTTGGGCATGTACACACATGTGCCTGGCGTGTTTCAGTCCCCCAGGTCTAGGACTTGAACCATGGTTGACCATGTGGGAGTTCAGTGCCTTAACTATTATGCCACCTGCTGGCCCCTTAGTGAATTTTTTATAGATAGTCATGTCTATAAATAGTGACAGTTTTATTTCTTTATTTCTAATCTGTATGCTATTTTTTTCTTATTATACTGGTTAGGATTTCTAGTAGAATGTCAAATAAGAGTAGTAAGAGAGGACATCTTTGTTTTGTTCTCAGTCTTAGCAGAAAATCACAGTTTTTCACTGTTATATATGATGTCAGCTGTGATTTTCCAAAAGTTCATAGAAATGGCATATTATAAAAAAAATTACATGGATTTCCTTTTTTTTGCATAAAAATTTTCTTTCTTTTCTTTCCTTTTTTCCCTTCCTTCCATTTCTTCTTCCCCTCTTTCTTTTCCATTTTCCTTTCCTTCCTTCCCAGAGGCATGTGCACACTCACTGGAGAGACAGAAAAGAAGAGAGGGAAGGCCTTCATGGAGAATGGTCTTACAACAATCCTTGTTTCTCCATTTTCCTTTCCTTTCAGGATTTTTGACAAACATGCACAGGTGCCTGACACATTCCTCACACCATTGGTTCCAGGATTCAAACCATGTAGTTGCTTGGCCATGAGATCCAGCTGCTTTAACCACTACACCACTGGCTGGCCCTTTTATGTTTTTTCTTTAGTTTTCCATGAGTGAGAGGGACAGAGAGGGAGAGACAGCCATCAACTCCATCAGGGTCTTGAAGCTGCCATCCACCTCTAATCTTCAGTCAACCCCAGATTGAAGGCAGGCATGTGTCTAATATACTCAGGGAATCTCAGGACCTGAACCAGGAGCTTTCCCATGTGGGATTGCTTGCAGAGTGCCAGCAGGTGGCATGGTGGTTAAGGCACTGGACTCCCACATGGCTGACTGACACTGTTTGAACCTCAGACCTAGCAGCTTGCTCTCTTGCTCTCTCTCTGTCTCTTGTCTCTCTCTAGTGAGCGCACATGCCATATAACAAATTAAATAATAATAAATAAAATAAACGAATAGTAATTTTAAAAGAGGAAGATGGAAGACTTACATCTTACACTGTTTTCTTTTTTTTAAAATCTGCCAGGGGATATGTGTGTTCACTGGAAAGAAAGAGAGAAAAAAATGGGAGAAAGCATCCATCCCTGGGGTCCTTTGCTGTGGGGGAAAATCTCTTTTCCATTTCTCTTTTTGAGGTTTCAGGCATGCATGCTCTTGTACCCTCCATGTGTTTCAAGCAGCCAGAGCCACACCTTGAACTGCTTAGTCCAACCATGTGGGTCCAGTCGCCTTATCCACCACACCACTGGCTGGCTTCTTTATACTGTTTTCTAAAATTATCAGCCCTTCTTAGATAAGAGTTCAATATAGGTCAAAATAAGTACAAAAACTTAGTCAGGATAAAAATTAGGGATCATGGGACCAGCAGGTGGCATGGTGGTTAAGGTGCTGGACATTCCCACATGGCTGACCATGGTTAGAGTTCCAGACCTGGTGGCTTGCTTTCTCACTTTCCTTCCCTTTCTCTCTGTGTCTCTCGTCAAATTAAAATAAATGAATAATAAAAAAAAATAGAATTAAATCTTTAAAAAAATTTTAGGGATCAAGCCCTAACTGGGTAGTTGATAAACATAGACTTATTAGGTTAAATGGGAAACAGTACTTCTTTTAATTCTTAAATGATTGTTGTGTATTGCAGTTTAGTAGTTACAGTTGTGCACTTTAGAGCAAGACCTCAGTTCAAATTGTGGTTCACTACCTAGTTTCCTGATGTTGGGCTGGTCAGAGGCCAGGAAAGGGAAGCTACTGTTCCTTGTGGGTTTGGATAACCTGTGGTGATGGCTGCATTTCTTCCTTTCTTTTTCATCAGGTGGATTTATTTAAAAAGAGCCTTCTGTTGATTCCTATTCACCTGGAAGTCCACTGGTCTCTCATTACTGTGACACTGTCTAATCGAATTATTTCATTTTATGATTCCCAAGGCATTCATTTTAAGTTTTGTGTAGAGGTAAGTTAATATACATCCTGTTTTCTCATGTATATTTTGATTAATCAAATAGCATTTTAGTTCTAGATAGAAGAGCAGAAGTCAGTACTACAGAGAAGCAGTTTCTGTCATGAAAACTGCTCAAATGTTGCTGAAAAAAGGACCATGAGAGGAGTGGTCTTCAGGTGGGAAGAGGTGATCGGGAAGATGTAGGTCCCTCGTGAGATACATGACCTATTTGGATTTCATCAGTATTTTCCCCTGAAAACTGCATTTTTAATGTGGATAGAAATTGTTTGCCTTGGATTCTCTTAGAGCTAAAATTGGACCATGCCTTTAAAAATACTTCTGTGGAGAGACCAGCAGTTAGTGTAATGGCTATGTTGCTGGACTCCCACGTAGTTGACCGCGGTTCGTGTCCTGGACCTGGTGGCTTAAAACTCAGGCCAGGCGCGTGCGCGTGTGTGTGTGTGTGTGTGTGTGTGCCCAAGATCCTGAGAAGAGAATGGAGGAGAAGGGATTGCGGTGTGGCCATCCCCCCTCGGGGGTGTTTTCTCGCTTTCTGTTTCTCTGTCTCTTTCTGTCTGTCTGGCGAGTGCACGTGCCCTATAGCAAAAACCTCTCCCACCCCCCCCCAAAAAAGGCAAAAAAAATACTTCTGTGGATTCAATTGTAATCCAAGAGAATTAGTTAACAAACTACTAGAATTTAGCTAGTTTAGCAAGATGGTGGGGTACAATAGCAAGAAAAAAGCAGTAGGTTTTCTGATTTTCCTACACTATCAAGAACCTGTTAGAAAATGTAACTGAAAACAAGATTCCATTTACAAAAGCAACAACACATGACTTACTTAGGAATAGATAGATTGATGGACAGCATAAAGAACCCAGAAATAACTCATGTGTGTAGGAGAAAGCACAGGCTATTCGCTTATGGCACTGGGAAAATGGTCTATTGAGAAAGCGAAGTACAGGCATAGGTGGTGCCACTGGGAAGCCACGTGGAGGCAGCATGCTGGGTGCACTGTGAGCACCTGCCATCCTAGCTCATGGGGGTGCTGGGGCTGCAACACAGGCAGACCCTGTTGAAAATACCTGTCTGTCTCTTTTTCCCCCTCTTTCCCATAAAGAAATAAAATTCCAAATGAAATAAAAACCTAAATATAAAGCATAGAACTATAGAAGTATTTGAATAAAATACAGAAGATGCTATGTTCTTGGAGTAGGGACGGCCTTCTTTACATAACCACCCCGGGTGCTGGGGCTGCAACACAGGCAGACCCTGTTGAAAATACCTGTCTGTCTCTTTTTCCCCCTCTTTCCCATAAAGAAATAAAATTCCAAATGAAATAAAAACCTAAATATAAAGCATAGAACTATAGAAGTATTTGAATAAAATACAGAAGATGCTATGTTCTTGGAGTAGGGACGGCCTTCTTTACATAACCCCCCCCCCCCCAAAAAAAAAAAGACACAAGGGACACTTTGACAAATTTAACCATACCATAAATTAAGCTTCTGTAGGTCGTAAAGTTAAAAGAAAAGCAACAGACGTAGAGAGCACACTTGTGAGATGACAGTTACTGTCCAGAACATATAAAGGACTGCAGAAAGGGTACAAATGGACGAGGTGGGACAAAGGGCCTAATGAAATGGATAAACGACAGCACCTGTAACTCAGGAAAAATGCAAATAACCTTGAAACATATGGAGAGATGTTCAGCTTCATCAGAAATAAAAGAAATGAAGAGTAAAACTACATCAGGGTTCCCCCCCCTTTTTTTTTGCACATTATATTAGAAAAAGTTTGAAGGTATTCAAGTATCTATATGGGTGTAAAAAAAAGACATTCTGGGCTAGCCAGTGGTGTGGCGAGCAGGGGGGCTGGACCCCACAGGACTGGCCTTGTGGGGACATGCTAGGCACATGTGTGCACATGCCCTAATCCCAGAGGAGGATGGAAAAGGGATTTCAGTGTTGCTGTAGCCATCCCCCAACCCTGGGGCAGGGAGGTTGCTTTCTCATTTCTTCATTCTATGTCTCTACCTGTTTCCTGCAAGTGCACAAACCCTACAGAAAAACTTTTAAGAAAGAAAAAGAAAATAGGCATTCTCATTTTCTAGTGGGGTGTATAAGTTGATATAGTCACTTGGGGACAGTTGGAATTCTAATTGGTTCTAAGTGCCTTATAAATGAAAAAGATGCATATCCTGTTGTATACCAGTTCTATTTCTTTCCTTCTTTATTTCTTTCTTTCTTTTTTTTTAAAAGAATTATTTTATTTAATATTGTTTGTTTGTTTGTTTGACCAGAGAGGTATAGAGTGCCATCTGCCAGCCCCTGCAGCTCTATTTCTTGGTATCTACTCCAAAAAATTCTTGTGTCTACACATGGGTGGGGGTTATATCAGGATGTTCACTGCAACATTATTTATAATAGCAAGAAACAAAACAACCTAAATTCAGCTCTAACCAGAAAATAAATACTTCATAGTAAATCCATACTATCAAGCTAACCATAGCAGTTAAAAAGTATAATAGATCGCACATATCTCCCCATTTGCCAGAGCCTGTCTTTATGGTCTCTTCCCTTGACTAATCTGAAAGGATAAAAATGAAAGGTCTTGGGCATAATAGTGCCTTTAAGAATCATTCAGGGGCTGGCCCCATGTTTGGTGGTTAAGGGAGCTGTTTTCCAGATAGCTTACCCCCTGGTCCACATACCCAGTGACTTTTAGAACATGTTGGGCATGTGTGACTGCATGCCCAAAATCCTGATGGTGGAGAAATAGAGAAGGGATTGCAGTATGACCATGTCCAGCTGAAGGGTTCCCCCCACAAACCCAACCCCAGCCTCATTGGTGAGTGAACATGACCTTGGCAGTAAAAAAGGAAAGAAAGAATCAGATTTTGACAGGCAGAGGAGGATGAAGGCTTCAGAAAAATCACCTAGAAAATATTTGCTGTGTGCTTTGTGCCAGGCAGCTAGGCTGGAGTCAGGGAGGGATTAGACAGACATTTACTGTCATGGAGCTCATGGTGGTTAAACAGAATTTTGCTTAGAAAACAGGCAGTAGGTTTCTGAGTGTATCTGGATTATTGAGGGCCTGGTTGTGCACAGTCATTGAAAAATCCATCTTCTTTTAATTTTTTTAAAGAATTATTTAACTTATTTATTTCAATTTGACCAGAGAGGGACATAGAGAGAAAGAAAGCAAGCTGCCAGGTCCAGGACTTGAACCGTGGTTGGTCATGTGGGAGTCCAGTCCATCCAAACATAACCACCATGCCACCTGTTGGCACTGAAAAATCCATCTTCTGATTTTTTTGTCCAGGCCTTCCTGCACAGTTCTTAGGTTTTCAGCAAAATTACAGTTGGCCTGGTAATTTTGCATGTTTTCAAAAGGATCCAAAGAGTAGACTTGTTTTTGGTGGCAGCTAAAAGTTATTTAGAGCCAAGTACAGTTACTCAGGATTAGGCTATCCTTTTTTTTTTTGTTTTTTAAGAATTATTTGTTCAACTGTATTATTATCATTTAAATTTTTTTATTTATTCATTCATTTATTTTAATTTGACCAGCGATAGAGAGAGAGAGAGAGAGTGAGAAAGCAAGCCACCAGATCTGGGACTTGAACTGTGGTCAGCCATGTGGGAATGTCCAGTGCTTTAACCACCACGGCACCTGCTGGTCTCCTTATTATTATCATCCTTTTTTAAAATTTGACCAGAGAGAGAGGGAAAGTGAGAAAGCAAGTCACCAGGTCTAGGATTTGAACTGTGGTTGGCCATGTGAGAGTCCAGCATTCCAACCACCACAACACCTGTTGGCCCCAGGCCATTTTTTGTTTTAAGGGGAGATAAAGGTCATAGAGGCAGCTCTAAATGGTTGTTGGGGACCTGTATTTCCTGAGTTGATGAGAATGTTTTAAATAGTCACTAAATAAAGATGTAGATTCTGTGACAGCACGGACTACAATAGCTTTATTTGTTTGTTTGTTTATTTACTTATTTTTGAGAGGTTTTTGCTATAGGGCACGTGTGCTTGCCAGAAAGACAGAGAGAAACACAGAGACAGAGAGCGAGAAATCGCCCCCCAGGGGGGATGGCCATACCACAATCCCTTCTCCTTTATTCTCCTCTTGGGATCTTGGGCACGCACGCACACGTGCCCAGCATGAGTTTAAGCCACCGGGCCCAGGACTCAAACTGTGGTCGACTACATGGGAGTCCAGCAACATAGCCATTACGTTAACTGCTGGTCCCCACAATAGCTTTATTTACGACTGTGTCTCAAGCAGTTGATGCATTATAAATGATCAGTAAATATTAAATGTAGGTGACCCATTTTTAAGGACAAGTCCTTTTTGTCTTTATTTTATTTACAACTACATATGTACTGCTTATTTCAAGAATTTGAAGTTGTTGTCTAGAGGGAGACAACATGCAGTCATTCCTTGTTAAATAAGTATTTGCTTTCACACATTTTTCCCCCCCAAAGAGGTGGCTTCTATTTTTACTCCACCTTTATGGGCATTTATTTAATTTGTATAACCTGTGCCTTCATCCTTCATGTATGGAGAGCTGCACGAAGTCGAGGCATAAGGTATATTTTGAAATCCAGTAGACTTCATCTTGCTTGGGGTTTCAGCAGTGGACTCGTCAGTAATCAGTGTTCAGAATGGGTTGAGTATCACTTTCCAGAAACTCAGTGTTACCCTTCCTGCAGCCTTCAGAAATAAGGAGTATATTTGAGACTGGAATGTTTTCACTTAGTGTTAGTTATTGATTTATGATAATAGAAAGTTCCTTCCCTTTAATGGGCATTGGCAGTGATTAAAGCTTTCTTTTGTCTTGGCAATATATATGTTTCAAATGCAGTATCTTGACTTACTGCTGAAAAAGGGTAACTGTCTAATAAAACATTCCAGTTAAACAAATACTAGTGTCTACATCCAAGTATATAGCTTGAGTATAGAAGGTCTGATATCTCCCTCAGTATGCAATGCAGATCTGAAAGTTCCCGCTTAAAATCTTCAGTGCATACTCTGCCCAATAATGGGACCATTGCCTTCTCCTTTGCTTCTGTTGCTGTGGGCAAGTTCTATTTTTCATGAACTGATGGAACACAGCATTTGTGTTGTGGTTTCTTTTTAACCAGAATATAAGAAAGTATTTGCTGACTGAAGCCAGAGAAAAGAATAGACCTGAATTTCTTCAGGGTTGGCAGACTGCTGTTACGAAGGTAAGTGTGTGATAAGATGTAACTCAGGTATGTCCAGGGATTGGAACCATCTAAGGGGTGGGTACCTTCGAGCATTTGCAGACTGGTGACAGAGTTACCAAGGAGAACCTGGAGACGCCAGGAGGCCTCTGGCTGCTCACCTTCCAGTACTTGCTGGCACAGGGTACGCCAGTCATTTCATCTTTAGGACAGTTGCTAATGATGCTTGACTGAAAATAAAACAACTAGGGGGTGGTGGGATGGTACCTGCCCCTTGCCTCCTGGTTCTTATTTCCAGATCACCCATAACAGAGCAGGGCAATGCTGAAATGACCATTTGGCTCCACTAAGGGAGCACGTAGCTGGGCTACTTTCCAGAGCTGCCAGGAGGACAGTGGCCCAGCGCTTCAGTTTGAGCAGTCTAGAGGAAGCACCATGGTTGGCGAATAGGTAGTGAAGCTGTCGGTGGGGCGGCATCTCGATGTGACCTCACAATCTGGCCATGAATACCGGTGTCTTACATCTTATGTCAGTGCTTTGTTTACGAGGTGTTTTGTATATATAGTCTTGTTTGATCCTTAACAACATGAGAGGTAGATGGGCCATTTAGGGGTAAGCATCATCTTCGTACTATAGATGAGAAAAAGAAAAGTAGGTCTGACCTTCCACAAAGGACATCACAACTATTAATAGAGTCAGGTTCCTGAACTGAAGTCTGTCTGGATCATTGATCCGTGTTATAGGCAGGTCTTGAAACCTTTAATCCAAGCCCAAAGGGACAAGATTTACTAGTTTATCCTTGAACTGAACAAGATGTTCACTTTTAAAATTAAACTTAAATTTTGTGTTTTAAATAACAGTAGTATACCAGTTCAAACTAGAACTAAAATTGTATATTTTCTCAGTTTACCTAATCAGATTATCTAAGTATTCTGAATTTAGTCAGGATCACTCATATTCTCACTTTTAGGCAGAATACAGTGACCCCGTTCTTTTGGACATACTGCTTACTTTCACAGTTTCATTCAAAGAACAGATAAGAGTTGTGTGTGCGTGCATGTGTGTGCATTCCCAAAATTCCAGGAGGAGAATGGAGGAAGGGATTGTGGCATGGCTATCCCTTCCCCTCTCACTGTCTGTCTCTCTCTCTAGTGAGTGCATGTACCCTATTGCAAAAATTAAAAAAAAAAAATTAGGAAACAACAGAGTCAGGAAGAGCCAAATCAGGACCGTAAAGTGAATGCCTAATGATTTTGACATCAAAACTCACAAAACTGGCCTGGTTTGAAGAGAGGAATGCACAGGAATATTACTGTAGAAAAGAACTCTAGTGAAATTTTCCCAGGTGCTTTCCTGCTAAAACTTTCTCTAAATACTCCCATTATAAGCATATGTTACTGGTCTTTGGTGGAGAAACCAGTCAGCAAGCAAAATGTTTTGGGCATCCTCCCCAAAAACATTGCCATGACCTTTGCTCTTGACCAGGTCTTCTGCATTGATTGGACCACCTCCACCCCTTGGTAGCCCTTGCTTTCGTTGTGCTTTCTCATCAGGATTGTACTGGTAAAGCCATGTGTCCTCTTCTGTTACAGTTCTGTGAAGAAATGTCAGGCTCTCAATCCCACTTGAAACTGCTCTAGTCTGCAGCTGATCTGGGTGCAACAGTTTCAGCACTCATTAAGCAGAAAGTTTGTTTAACTTTAATTTTTCAGACATACTTGTGCAAACTAAACCAGTCAAGATGTGTATGGTATTGACTATTGTTTCTGCTGTTTAATAGTTAGTACTCTTCAAGCAGGGCATGGACAAGATGAGCTTTTTCAACTTCGCAGATTGGTACGAATGGTCTGCTGCTGCAGACGTCATCTTGAACATCATCTCATCCCTTCTTAAAACAAGCCATCTATTTGTAAAGTACTGATTTCTTTGGGCATGCCCCATAGATGTTTTGATGATTTCATCATTCTTCCACACAAGCTTTACTCTAAATTTGATTCTTGTTCTTGCTTCAATTTTAGCAGAATTTGTGTTACTCTGATAGGGGCTCTTTTCAAACTGATGTCTTAGTGCCTCAAACTAAATCTTATTCAGATGTGTTGTAAGAAGTTAGAGTTTATTCTGGTGCAAAACTTTTTTCATAGTTAATTTTTTTATAATATGCATCTTCAGTGAATTTGGAAGACCTCTCATGCCAGAGGCATATACACCACTGTTCTGGACAGGAACAAGTTTCTTGTCCTTTGCTCACTTTTCATAAAGTAATTTTTCTTATCTGAAGAGGAGTATTTAATCTTATTTTAATGACTATTTTGTTTTTTTTTCCCCCTCAGTGTATTCCACAACAGAAAAATGACAGTGACTGTGGAGTTTTTGTGCTCCAGGTAAAGAAATACCATTTCCTTTCTCGGCATTTATAATGTGAAAAGTACATTGGTTGAATTAGGAGGGATGACTGCCCCTGCATGTGTGCATGACTCTAGGTGCGGCAACAAGAGTACTTTCTCGTCCCTTTGCTGCTGAGAAACAGCAGTTTCTATATTTTCTCATGTTACCAGTAAGAAGAACCTAATGAGAGCCATACTAGATGCCGACTGGACTTTGTATCATAAACTGTTGGTATTTGCAGAAACAAGCAAACCGGGGACCAGCAGGTGGCATGGTGGTTAAGGTGCTGGACTCCCACTTGACTGTGGTTCAAGTCCCAGACCTGACACTTTGAAAGTCATGCCAGGCATGTGTGTGTGCATGCCTAAAATCCCAGGAGGAGACTGGAGGAGAAGGGATTGTGGCATGGCCATCTCCCCCCTGTCCCTCTTTGTCTCCTCTCCAGCAAATGCACGCATCCTATGGCAAAAACCAAACAACCTGGCAAGCAACCTGCAAGTCTTTGAGTAATTAATTAGATTTTAAATAAAGGGCCACATTCAAAAACTACTCTCTCATACTGTAGGTCTCCTTACAGGTCTAAAAGGGTTATATATGTGTGTTCAGTTTTATATATATTTACAAAGAAAATTATATAATTCTTGAATTTAGAGATTTACAGAGATCTTGGAAGATAGGTTCATTCACACACATCATATGTTTGGGTTTTATAAACAAATTCAAGTTCCCTCTTAAAGGCTACTTTAGAGGGCTGGCAGATGGCATGGTGGTTAGAGGCGCTGGACTCCCACATGGCCAACCATGGTTCGGGTCCCAGATCTGGCAGCTTGCTTTCTCACTTTGTTGCTCACTTGCTCGCTTTCTCTCTCTCTGATCAAATTAAATAATTCTTTTTTTTTTAATTTGTTTTTTTTTTTGAGAGATTTTTGCTATAGGGCGCATGCGCTCGCCAGACAGAGAGACAGAGAGACAGAGAGACAGAAAGCAAGAAATCACCCCCCAGAGGGGATGGCCACGCCGCAATCCCTTCTCCTCCATTGTTCTCTCGGGATCTTGGGCACACACGCACATGCGCCCGGCGTGAGTTTTAAGCCACCGGGTC